AACTAGGTCAAACTGACCCTCGTTTATTCAAAGCAGTATGAAACCTGAGGAATCACTGAAACAACTACAAAAGAGGGAGCACAAAGGTAAGTGGTTCTCAAAAGGAAGTAAGGATTCAAGTGTCCTCGGCTGGTGTGCACCCAACAACTCACACTGAGGACAGCTTGCCTCCCAAAGGGACCTGAGAACACCAGCCAGCCCCCTCCGAACCTCCACCACCAACGTACTCCCTAACCACCCTGACCTTAAAAGGGGAGGAATACAAAGATCTAGAGAACAAAAGCAAGTGAGCGAAAAGTAAGACAAAAGAAAAAGAGAAACTCTGAGAACTCACCTAGGACCTAAATTTCTTACTGACTCCCAAATTAACTTCACGGCCAACAATGATGTGTACTGAGCACATTGATCCTGTGGATACAGGATGAAGAAGATAGACAAGACCTTTGTCCTCACAGAGCTGACTATTTACTGGGGGAGACATACGGCCACTAGCAGTCGGACAGCACACAAGCTAACGGACAGGCTGTGAGGCCAATATTCAGGGCTGGGACCTGGGGAGGGGCAGAGTGGTCAGGGAAGGTCTCTTTCAGGAAGTGATGCTGAGTTGAGCCCTACAACAAAAGAAGCCAGCCAGGCAAACAGCTAGAGAAAGAAAGGTCCCAGGCTTACGTAAGACAGCCTAGCTGCGTTAGAGTCAGAAGGTGCTCCTGTGGACAGAGTGTGGGACACAAAGGGAAGAAGGGCTGAACTCTGACCAGCCATGCCTGGGTCTGTGAGAACAAAGATTAGGTGCCCACTGGCTTTTCTCATGGAGCACGGCCTCTCACAGAAAACAACAAACAAACAAAAAACCATCCATTGGTGCAGTCCCTAAACTCAGGAATGGGTGAGGTGGACAAACACAAAAAATATAGTATCGACAAAGCGGGTGGGGGTGGTAGAGCCACCCCTTGGTGTCACAAGACTATCCCATCTGTTCAGAACAGAAGACTTACACTCGGGAAAAATAAGTGGTTTGCACAGAGTTATACAGCCTTTGGGGGATGAGCTAGGACTCAAACGAGGTGTGTGTGACTGACATGTCCAGTTTCTTTCATTATATCACACGATCTTTTCATTTTTTAACATAAAAGCATTTGGCACAGGTTATATTATTAAGATTCACGTGGACTGAGGATTTTTCCATTTATGATATTGACTAAGGCTCAGCTGATGTGCTGATATCCTCAAAGTTTTCTTGGGTAGAATTCCTGTCAATTAATTTATCTTCGTTATAAATTTATGCTAATTATCATTTCAAAACAATCTCTGCATGACCAACAGGCTCATAACTGATGGTAATACAGAAATATGACAGAATACTACTTAACAATTCTAAGTGCTAGGCATCGTAGACTCTTCATATGTGAAAACAGTATTTACTGATATTAACTTAATTAACTTACTATCTATATATATAAAAGCCTAAGCAACCGAACGACCGGTCGATCGGTTGCACTGACCACCAGGGGGCAGACACTCAATGCAGGAGCTGCCCCCTGGAGGTCAGTGCGCTCCCACAGCCAACCTCCCATGGCCGGCCAACCTCCCGCAGTGCCCGCGCCCCCCCCCCCCCCCCCCGCCCCCAGCGGCTGGCCAACCTCCCGCGGTCCTTCCTCCCCTGGCCGGCCAGTTCCCTCACATAGGCCTTGATTGTTGGCCAGGCCGAGGGACCCTGCCCAGGCACGAATTCATGCACTGGGCTTCTGGTTAAACAGAAAAAGCAGAGCACAATATGGGATGTACAAACTGATTACACCTTTGTGACCAAGTACATATAATTGCCAACAAAAATGAGAAATAATGTTTTGAGATGAAATAAAGAGTCCTAGCTGGTTTGGCTCAGTGGATAGAGCGTTGGCCCATGGACTGAAAGGTCACAGGTTTGATTCTGATCAAGGGCATGTACCTCTGTGGGAGGCAACCAATCAATACGTCTCTCTCACATTGATGTTTCTCTCTCTCTCTGTCTCTCCCTGTCCACTCTCTATAAAAATTAATGGAAAAATATTCTTGAGTGAGAATAAATAAATAAAATGTAATAAAGATACATGAGTATTAAGGTCATTTTTATTTAAAGTTGCTTAAGCTCATATAATAAATGTATAGGGCATCTTTCAAAAAGAAAACATATTGGAAAAATCAATGTATTTAAAGGAGAGCTTTTTTTGTTTGTTTACTCATTCTTTATTGTTGAAAGGATTACATATGTCCCCCTTTTCCCCACAATGATCCCCCCTCCAGCCCGCCTCCACACCCCATCCCAGCCCTGACTGCCCCATTGTCTGTGTACATGGGCCATGCCTATATGCATTAAAGGTCCTTGGTTGGTTACCTCCAACCCACCTACCCACCCTCCCCTACCTTCCCTCCGAGATTCCGTACCCTGTTCTACGCTTCATGTCTCTGGATCCACTCCATTCATCAGATTATATTGTTACTTAGATAAAAGGAGGGCTTTCTTAATATCTATCTAGAACACATACTCATATTCTCTTCACCAGTTGGAATTTTTAAAGTATAAATAGCATTAGAGATTTTCTGATTTTAATTTAATTTAAATACCCGAAATTTCTATTACTGAGTATTTCAATACTGACCCAATGGAAAAAAATGTTTCCTATAACCAAATATTAGTATAAACACTGAACACCATCCAAAATTCTTCTGCAGAGACTGTAAACCTAGGGAGTTGTTGCAAAACAAGCTTCAGGCACTCGTAACATCTGCCACAGAACTCATCCAAAGCCTCGTTTTTCGCCCATCCTGATGACATATTAAAATGATGCCTTAGTAATTTACTCCTACCAGAAATATCAGCATAGTTTCACTAAATGCAATAATTGATGGGCTGGTAAAATGTTGCCTAAATTGTCTTGTGGGCCTGAAAACTCTTTTTTTTTTTTTTAAATCCTCACCTGGGGATAATTTTTTTTTTAAGAGGAAGTGGAAGGTAGGGGGAGAGACAGAGAAAAAGATCCATGTGAGAAAGACACATTGATTGGTTGCCTCCTGATATGCCCCAACCAGGCCTGGGGATTGAGCCTGCAATGGAGGTATGTGCCCTTGACTAGAATCAAACCCATAACCCTTCAGTGCAAGGGCCAATGCTCTAACCACTGAGAAAACCAGCTAATGTGGCCTGAAAACTAATTTTTCAGGACCATTAACACAACATAGAAATACATTTTTCTTTTTTTGCTTTTTAAAAATTTTTTTTTATTAATTTGAGAGAGAGGGAAAGAGACATCGATCTGCCGTTCCAATTATTCATACATTCATCAGTTGACCCTTTCATGCATCTGAATTGAGATCAAACCCAAAACTTTGGTGTATTGGGACGAGGCTCTAACCAACTGAGCCACCCAGCCAGGGCACAATCTAGTGTTCTGATTGTATTTTATATTGTGCTTCTTCTCCTTATAGTATTTAAGAAGAAGTTAAATTAGTTTTGTATTCATTAAAACTCCCCAATATATGTCCATCTATATCAGGGGTCCTCAAACTACGGCCCGCGGGCCACATGCAAATACAAATATTGTATTTGTTCCTGTTTTGGTTTTTTACTTCAAAATAAGATATGTGCAGTGTGCATAGGAATTTGTTCATAGTTTTTTTTAAACTATAGTCCGGCCCTCCAACAGTCTGAGGGACAGTGAACTGGCCCCCTGTTTAAAAAGTTTGAGGACCCCTGATCTATATATATAAAAGCCTAGGCAACCATTACGACCGGCCAACCTGCTGGTCGCTGTGATGCACACTGACCACAGGGGACAGACACTCAATGCAGGAGCTGCCCCCTGGTGGTCAGTGCACTGCCATAGTGGGAGCGCTGCTCAGCCAGAAGCTGGTCTCACAGCTGGCAAGCGCAGCAGCAGTGGCGGGAGCCTCTCCCACCTCCACTGCAGGCGGGTGGTAAGGAGCGAGGGGTCCCGGACTGCGAGAGGAATGTCTGACTGCTGGATCCCCCTGAGGGATCGGGCCTAAGCTGGCAAGCGGACATCCCCTGAGAGGTCCCAGTCTGCAAGAGGGTACAGGCCAGGCTGAGGGACTCCCCCCTGTTCCCTCCTCCAGTGCACGAATTTCATGCACCAGGCCTCTATTATCATAAAAATATATTTGTGTGATAGAGAGAGAATATAGAAAAGCTAAGCGACAAAATTCTGAGGTTGTCCAAGCAGAGCATTATAACAATAAAAATTTATGTATTTATGATTAATATTGAGATTTGCTTCAAAAGAATATGGAGGGTTGGGGGAATGGGTCAAGCTCAACAAGACTAGCTAGGAGTTAATATGCAATTATTAAAGCTGGATGATTGGTAGAGAGAGTTTATTATATTATTCCCTCCACTTTTATATCTGTTAAAAATATTCATATTAAACGTTTTTTAAAAATTATATCCTTACAATAGGTCTAATCCTGAAATAAGAAACACTTATTTAGCATTGGATACATAAGAAACTTAAAGTCAATCAGAAAACTGGCAAAATATTTTACTGTTATGAGAACATCTGAGTTCTAATATTGTCCATCGTTAACTATTTTTTGTTATTGTTAATCCTTACTGGATGATATTTTTTCCATTGCCTTTTAGAAAGAGTAGAAGGGAGGGAGAGGGAGAGGAGAGAGAGAGAGGGAGAGGGAGAGGGAGAGGAGAGAGAGAGAGAGAGAGAGAGAGAGAGAGAGAGAGAGAGAGAGAGAAGAGAGAGACACACAGATTGGTTGTCTCTCGTACACGCCTAGACCAACCGGAGCAAGGGATGAATCTGCAACCCAGGTACATGCCCTTGACTGGGAATCAAATCCGAGACCCTCTGGTGCGCAGGCAGAAACTAAGGCATCATTAACTTCTTCTATGATGCACAAGGGAGCTTTAGCATTTCTTCAATGGCTAATTTAATAGACTTCATAAAGAGCACCCTTTACAAAGGATAAACATTTATAAGAACAGTACATACCAGGAGTATCATAGGCCGTTTCCAAGTTGTTAATCCTATGATTCCAGAGAGTATCACCTACAAAGATAAACAATATCATAAATCTAGAAAAGGGACCAATTCCAATAAACGAATACCCAGTCTCTAAAAGTATATATTTGAAAATGCGGACATTTCAAAGCCTCCTAACTCAAATATTTAATATTCCTGCTGATTATATGAGCTCTCATAGGCCTCTTTGGACTATCCTTCATGTTCAAGGCCCTGAAGCTTTTTTATTGACTGTGTAATTTTTTCTTAAGGTCAATTAAGAACACAAACAAAAATCGGTCTATCCTCTGGTTAGTGAAGGGATCAGTAGTATTTTCTGATCCAAGCTCCCTGCCCACAGTGGCACCTAGTCTGTTGCCAGAGTCAGCCTCAAACGATGCACATCTCACCGTCACCCGCTGTTCAGGTGGGTACCCATCTTCACAGAACAAGCCAACTCCTCTACATAGTCAACCAGGCCTTCGGGATCTTCCCCTGCCTACCTCTCAAACGCGGTTTCCATGTACCCCTGCCCCTTCCACCACACACCTTCCTTCCAGGCACATCTATCCTCCCATCGACTGGCTCGGCTCTAGACATTCCCGGGCTTTGTGCTTCCTTTTGCTGCAATGTCCTCTCCTCCCAACTCCCCTTTAAGCTGCCTGAGAACTCCTATGCATCCTGCAAGACCCCAAATAACAGTTACTTCCTCTGAGAAGCTTTCACTAATCCCACCACCCCACACCTGGAAACCCTCTACATATAATTTTCCCCCCGCAAAAACCTCTGTATTGCATCTCTGTCTTGATTACTAACTGTGAATTCCTATCTTGTCTCTCTGAGTCCCCTGCTCCTAGCACAGTGCCTGACACATGACTGGTGAACAATAAATATTCCTGAGCATTTATTGCACAAAGAGGGAGGACTACAGTGAGAAAGAATCTCGTGTTATAAAATGACACTTCAATAAATAAAATAAAATCCTCGGTAAAGAGGAGCCAGCATTTTGCAAAAATGTAAACTGGAAACCAACATCAGCCCTTTGAATAACAGTTCACTAAACAGTTAGGAAAGAATAGCCAAAGTAATTATTCACCCAGGACATCCATATGCCATTTAAGCACATTTACCTGTGTGCAATAAGGCACACTGGCTGAATGCATTCACGAGGGAATTTTCTTTCAAGTGCATTTTATACCCAAATCACTCAAATGCACCATTTCACAATTACTACAAATCAGGAAGGATTTGGAAATGTTGCTTCAAATTCAAAGCTCACAGGCCTGCTTGCAATACTTTCTAGTCTCCATTTACTGACTGGGAGTAACTCATTCCACAATATCAAACCAGCACAGGTCAAGTCTATCCACTAGTATCAAGGACCAAAACCCACACATGGGCAGATAAGCAACAATTTCTTTGTATCCTATCGATGTTCAAAGCTACTATCAGCTGTCTGTCCATCAAGCACTATATCCTTGTAATCATCTGAAATCCAATAGCATATTTTCTCACTCTAAAGGATTTCTACCTGGAGACATGCAGGGTGTGTGTGGCTCACCTAGAGGGTGTGGGCTGCATCTACTTCATAAATTGGGATTTGGTATCCATGACCTGGGGGTCCAGGTTTCCCACGTGGCTTCTAATTAACGATGTGGCCTTGCCCAACTCCTTTCACTTTTCGGGCCCTCACTTGCATTTCCCTAAAAATATGGTGAGTGATGGAAACCATCTCCAGGTCTCTTCTAACTCAAAAGGTTGACGCCACTGTGATGACAGGAATTTCTCAGGAACCTGTGATCCAGCATGGGCCCCGCCCTGCAGACTGCATGTGGGCACGCACACTTGCACATGTGCTGCATGTGTATATGTGCATGCATAAGTCCCAGTGTGCATGCATGAGTGTGTGTGCCTCCACATGCACACATGCTCCTTCCCTGCCTGCCCGCCCTGCTGCTTACTGGACTTTGCTGAGAAAATGCAACTATTTTTGTGAGAACATCACTGAAAATAGGTCTGCCCTTGAGGGGAACACAAACTGCCCACTTCACAGAAATATAAATATGATTTGATTTGAATCATCAGTTAGTCTCCTTTAACTCAGAGCCCTGTGGATCAGCTTTCTGGAACACATTTTTTCCATTAAAACAGTATTATCAAAGATGTCCAGCCCAGCCCAAAAAAGCCTGTAAAAATAATGGTATGCTTCAACTATACTTCCCACCCACCCCCACCAGCCACATTATCCCATTCTCCTCCATGTTAACAATTTAGCATGTTTACATATTTTACACATGTACTAGTACATGTTTTCCTCTAAATTCTTTTTTTATTTTTTAAAAATATTTTTTTATTGATTTTAGAGAGAGGAAGGATGAGGGAGGGATAAAAACATCAATGATGAGAGAGAATCATTGATCAGCTGCCTTCTGCACGCCCCCTATTGGGGATCGAGCCTGCAACCTGGGCATGTGCCCATAACCAGAATTGAACCCAGGACCCTTCAGTCCACTGGTTGACACTTTATCCACTGAGTCAAACCAGCTAGGGCCTCTAGATTCTTAACTAGACACACATGGGTAATGTGTATATATGCAAATGCACAGGGGTATATATTTTACCAAAAAGAAATGGATCACGAAAAATACTTTTCCTCCTCTTCTTTTCCCCTCTCAATAAATACTTCATGGAAATTCTTCATGTACACAGGAATAGCTCTCATTCATTTCCATTTAATGGCTACATAATATTCCTTTGTATGGCTGCACCTAATGTATTCAATCATTTCCATATTCATGAGTATCTACTCTATTTCCAGTGGTTTGCCCTCACAAACAATGCTGCAGCCAACATCCATGAACATATATCCTTAAAAACAGTGCTTTTTATTTCTGTTGGATAAAGTCCCAGGAGTAGGTTGCTAAACTGGAAGGGAGATTACATAATAGCTCATGACAGATACAACTGTCATTTCAAATGAAGGATCTCTAGGACAAAAGAACTAAGCTATCTTTATTTCTTTTCCTTTTTTGGGGGGAGGGGAAAGTTGCATATACAAGCAACAAACTAAATTTAAAACACAATTTTAAAAATATGTACAAAATGTACTTGACAAATAAGAAATATCAATCATCTAAAGATACTTTAGACCTCAGTAGGGAGACATATACAGCTTATTCAGCAAGAAGAAGACCTTAAATGAAGATCTTCTTAAATGAAGGTTGAAATAAATCAAGATAAACATCACGTTTATGAATTGGAAGACAAAATATTTAAAGATGCCATTTCCATCGGAACTGTTTTATAGAGTCAACACACACCCATGTTAAATCCCAGCCTGATTTCTGTAAACCACCTTTCTCTACAGGGAGGCTTTAAGGAACTGCATGCATTCCAGTTGAACGTGGGAATTGTAGTGGCATCCCCCTCAGTTCTGAACCCTGCAACAAAGGCACACACTGACTTCTACTCAACTGCTCCCACTCTTTGAGCCCAATTAAGCCCGAAGACACTTGGGGAACCCGTGAGTGGTGAGGTGGAGAGGAAAAACCGAGGAAACAGGGCTGGGATGGAGCAGAGAGTGCTGCAGTTGGGGATGAATCTTCTCAGGGCTCCAGACTGAGGGAATGGATGCTCACATGTCATCTGGGGGTGGTGGCAGAATTCATGAATGAGGAGAGGGGCTGGGGAAGGGAAAAGGGGGGGCAGACTTCAAATTGATGCAGACACTAAGGAAAACAGTATGGATACTCCTAAAAAAGCAACTAAAAATAGAGATACCATACAACCCAGCAATTCCACTTCTGGGTACTTACCTGAAGATAAAGAAAACACTAAGTGGAAAAAATATATATGCCTTCCTATGTTCATTGCAGCACTATCCTATCTAATAAAAGAGAAACATGGTAATTGGCGTACGACCGCTACCCTTCCCATTGGCTAATCAGCGAGATATGCAAATTAACTGCCAGCCAAGATGGCGGCCGGCAGCCAGGCAGCTTGAAACTAACATGAGGCTTGCTTGCTTCAATGACGGAGGACTCCAACGTTCCCCGCCTGCCGCTGCAGGCCTCTGAGCTGCAACTCTAAGCAACTATGTAACAAATATAGAAGCTAAACAAAACCCCAGAAACCTGCTTTAGTCAGCAGGGCTTCAGCCAGCAGGATCGCAACATTGTAAACAAAGGCCAGAAACCTGCTTTCAGAAGCGGAGGCCTAAGAGCTGGAGCCAAGCCTCAAAGCTAAAGCTGTCCCGGAATAAAAAGGGAAAAAAAAGAAAAAAAGGAGCAGTTGGGAGCTTCAGTCACCCGCCAGCCTGAAAACAGCCCTCAGCCCCTCACCCAGACTGGCCAGGCACCCCAGTGGGGACCCCCACCCTGAAGGGTGTGTGACCAGCTGCAAACAGCCATCAGCCCCTCACCCAGGCTGGCCAGGCATCCCAGTGGGGACCCCCACCCTGATCCAGGACACCCTTCAGGGCAAACCAGCCGGCCCCCACACGTGCACCAGGCCTCTATCCTATATAGTAAAAGGGTAATATGCCTCCCAGCACCAGGATCAGCGGAGCCACGAGGCCTCCTGGCACTGGGATCAGCATGACAGGGGGCAGCGCCCAAACCCCCTGATCGCCCTGCGGCTCTGTGTGTGACAGGCTGTGGTGCCCCAACCCCCCGCCCCCCTCATGGGCCCTGCTCTGTGTGTGACGAGGTAGAGCCATAACCTCCCCATCGGCCCTGCCTTGAGTGTGACAGTGGCGGAGCCCCAACCCCCTGATCGGCCCTACTCTGTGGGTGATAGAGGGCGGCGCCCCAACCCCCTGATCCGCCCTGCTCTGTGTGTGATAGGGGGCGGTGCCCCAACTCCCCTATCGCCCCTACTCTGTGAGTGACAGGGGGGAGCTCCTCAACCCCCTGATGGGCCCTGCTCTGTGCGTGACTCCGGGGAGCTCCCCAACCCCCTGATGGGCCCTGCTCTGTGCGTGACAGGGGGGAGCTCCCCAAACCTCTGATGGGCCCTGCTCTGTGTGTGACAGGGTACGGAGCCCCAAG